TCCTCAAATATGTTTTCCAGACTTTGTTATTCTCCCTTAGTAATACCTATGCTTCATAGGTTTGGATGTTTCATGTAGTCCCACACTTCTCAAACGCTTTGTTCACTTCCTCTGAATCTTTGTTTTTGTCTGATTGGATTAATTCAAAAGACCTGTCTTCAAGTTCTGAGATTCTTCCTTCTGCTTCGTCTAGTCTACAGTGGAAACTTTCAACTGTATTTTATAATTCCCATAATACAGTTTTCATTTCTAGAAATTCTATTTGATTTTTTAAAAATATCTCTTTGGTAAATTTCTCATTTATATCCTGGGTTGATATTCTGATTTCTTTGTATTGGTTTTCAACTTTCTCATGTATCTCATTAAGCTTCTTTAAAATTAATATTTTGAATTCTTTATCTAGTATTTCAAGCATTTCACTTTGGTTAGGATCTGTTTCTGGAGGATTAATATGATCCTTCAGGGTGTTGCAACACTGTGCTTTTTCATATTTCCAGAATTTTTACCCTGGTTCCTTCTCATCTAGAGAAACTGTCACTTTTTGGTTTGAATTTTCTTTTGCTTTGACTAGAGGGGTCCCCCCTGCCTTGAGAATGTGACTATAAAGTATGCTGCATAGTTTTATTTGGCTTTGCTTCTGGACGCTTTTGGCGGCAAAGACTCTGTATGAATTCCTTGGTTATAGATAGGTTTTGTGTGGTGACTTTCTCATATATCAGTTGTAGTAGTAATATACCTACCAGGTCGGTGAGCAGGCTCAAGGCCTTCTGAGTAGCCAGGGTATGGTGAGGGATGATGGTAACTGAGGTCATGCAAAGCTTGTCTCCTGCCGTAGCACTGTGCAGTTGTGTACACAGTTGTGTCAGCAGATGGGCTATGCAAGTTCACCTCCTGGCCAGGAGGGGTACTTGTAGGAAAGAGGCAGTTGCAGTCGTGGCAACAGGATTTATGCTTGGCCTTTGTTAACGAGGAGACTACTCCCATGTCCCAGACAATGGGTGGGGCCATGGGACACCTAAGTGTCGCTATCTTGTGTTCTGCCAGCAAGGCAGGTTGAGGAAGGAAAGCTGGGTGGAGCTGCGTCAGGCAAGCACATATTCAGGCTCTCCAACAGCTGAGACAAGCACTGGCCCCAGGGGTGATCACCGGACCTCCGGGGCAACATTCTAGGAAGGGACAGAGGCACCTCTACTACATCAAAGAGCCCACATGGTAAGAAGAGGTGCAGCCTGAGCTCCACAGCATAACAGGCAACAGCAGGACCCACCAAGTTCTACTGCCCTTAACTCAGTGAGTCTCCCACCTGTGTCCCATCACTGGCTGCAGGCCAAAAAAGCCAGCCCAGTCCCCAGCAGTCTGTATTAGGTTGTTTTTGCACTGCTATAAATGCCTGAGACTGGGTAATATATAAAGAAAAGAGGTTTAACTGGCTCACAGTTCTGCAGGTGGTACAGGAAGCATAGCTCGGCTTCTGGAGAAGCCACAAAAAGCTTTTACTCATGGCAGAAGGTGAAGTGGGAGCAAGCATGTCACACAGCAAAAGCAGGAACAAGAGAGTGAGAGTGAAACAACCAGAAAGTTTCAAACCACCAGATCTCATGAGAATTCACTCACTATCATGAGGACAGCACCAAGCAGATGGTGCTAAACCATTCATGAGGGACCCCCATGATTTAATCACCTTCCACCAGGGCCCACCTCCAACACTAGGGATTAAAATTCAACGTGAGATTTGGACAGGGACAAAATCCAAACTACATCAGGGTCTGTGCTCAGATGGTGAAACTGCCCCAGGCTGCAAGACTCCCTGCCCAGGACAGAAACCATGGCTCTGAGGCCACACCTCTGCGGTACAGTTTCATGAAGTAGGGGCGCCCAACTTCCACATCACAGCAAGAACTCAAGCCAAAGACAAACCCCCACCCAGGGTAAAAAGGGCGCTGGTCACCAAGTGAACCATGACTATGTGAAACATTCCTGTAAGTTTTATTTCCAAAATAACACACTGGCATCATTTCAATTACCTCTTCCAAAGAATATTCTAAAAATTCGTGTTCTCTGCCATCATTTCAAAGTAGATAGTTTTATTATTTTCTGTGGATAAATTTCCCAAAATTTTATTTTTTAGACTAAAGCTATTCACAGACGGGTCTATTTATTAAGTTAACTGCTTAATATTTAGCTTTCAAATTTCTCTTAGAAGTAGGCTATCAAATCTGCAGGAACGCTCTAACCCACTAACCTTTTTCCCCAGTCATGCTGTCAGAGATTCATGGAGAGCTAATAGAGTGAATCAAACGACCTACACCTACTCACAGACTCAAAGGCACTCGAGCTCATTTCGACCATATCCTCAAAGCAAAGTCGCCTGTCGCCTAAAATACTTCCCAGACACCTAAGTGTTTCTACTAATAATGGAGGACGTTAGAACCTCTAGAGCTCACAGGGTACCAGCACATGGAGCTTAAGCCTACCACCACATTCACGCAGAAAGGCAATGAAAATAAAAGAAAATTATTGCCACAGACTATAATTGGGTTACAGTAAAAAGCCACAAGTGCCTACTATCCTGCAAATCTAAAGCTTGCCATCCCACAGCAAGATTATACGAAAACATTAACCCAAGAGGGGAGTGAGTCAGTGGACTGGGTAGGATTCAAGACAAGATGCAACTCTCTAACCAGAAAAATAAAAGCCTACGATAGAAAAGGGAGCAAGATGGCATATGGCACGAAGGGAAAATGAAAGAACTCTTCGTTCTGAAAATAGCTCCATTTCATCAAGACACTTAGAGGATTCCAAGTCAGCAAGATCTGCAAGCACCCTGTACGGGGCAGGGAGCAACCTCTGGCTGTCTCCCTACTCCAGGAGGGAAGAAAAGACATGCCTCACACAGCACTCCACAAAATTGGAATGTGCATCGGAAAAACAGTCAAGACTACTGGGGAACGTCCTCCCACTTCCTGCTACAGCAAACACAGCAATGGAGACATTCATAAGACCATGAATTTAGCAGCCTGGGGAGTGCGGTTGCTTGCCAGCTGCAACACACCACACATTGAGTTAATGCTGTTTCATATATAATAATCTTACTTTTATAACCCTGGTAAGACTGCTAGCAGGCCAGTTCTGAATTTTGCCTGTTCCCAAGGGCACTAAGGTGGGAGGTATATTTACACAATGCTTTAAATAAAATATTATCCTTGCTGTTCTCATGATAGTGAGTGAGTTCTTGTGAGATCTGGTCATTTAAAAGTAGGTGGCACCTCCCGCTCCCACTCTCTTCCTCAAGCTCGGGCCGTGTGAGGTACTCGACACTCCTTTGCCTTCTGCCATGACTGTAAGTTTCCTGACGCCTCTCCAGAAGCAGATGCTGCCATTGTGCTTCCTGTACAGCCCGCAGAACTGTGAGCCAATTATACCTCTTTTCTTTATAAATTACCCAGTCTCAGGGGTTTCCTTATAGCACTGCGAGAATGAACACACTGCTCCCACCCTCGCCCCCAACCCCCAAGCAGATGTCTGTTTTGAGATGCTTTTCCTACCACTAACAGTATGTCATCTAACAGCTGCACCTGAGTTTTTAAATGAAGTTTACCTTTGACACTACCTCCTAAATATCAGCCTTAATTCTTTCCACTTTAAACTTTTGGTTTTTTTCATTGAATGCACCTTATGGTTTTTCTGGCAGTATTTTACCACTTCCACTTCCATATGAAACTATCTTTCCCTTCATAGATTACCGTATCTGAAAAAATCAGTGATTTATTATTCATAATTTAATCTGAATTAATGCTTTTAAATAAACATTTCTTTTTGCCTTATTCAACTGCATGATATTAGGCCACCAGTAAAAATTATTGATTATGACCATTCATTAGTTCCTGAATCCTTACAACCTTTGAAAATTCTTAAAAACAGAAAGTAATAGAGAAAAGTGAGATAATTAATTAAGATTGTGATCCAGGCGAGAACAGAAAACTCCCTTTAGGATCTCGGGTGTGGGCATGGAGAAGCAGCAGAAGGAACACGGTCTGCTCTTCCCCAGGACCAGGGAGAATCAAGTAGCAGTGCAACATCAGGGAGTCCAGGCTGGGGAAGAGGACATTTCATGAATCAACAAGAATGGCCTGCCCGAGAGATCCATTAAACACCACCACAACCACAGTTAATAACAATGTAATTTATTCTTGCATATCACTAAGAAAGTAGATTTTAAGTGGCCTCACAACAAAAAAAGGAGGTATGTGAGGTAATGCATATGTAATTAGCTCAATGTAGCCATTTCTCAATTTCAAAACATCATGTCGCACATAATAAATACATATAGGTCGGTGTGTACGTATACAGATATATATACATACACCCACCCAAGAAGAATGTCTTGACCAAGGAATGCTGTGTTCAAATAACAAGGAGTGGACATAACAATAACAGTAACCTAGAAACCTAGTCTCTGAGGTCAGCTGGAAAAGAATTTAAGGGGCACGTGGCCTGGACTCACATTGCAGCCAGACGTCATCCCAAGGCTGAGGAGATGGACAGACAGATTTAACAATGCAAACAGGTAAAGGAGACTTATCAGAGTGGGGTGCCACACAGGTGGAACACCAGGTGCAAAGGAAGACGAAGCAGTCAGTGTCAGAAACAGATGGCCCCTGCAGGGAGAGTGAATACTCTAAGCCCAAGCCCAACCACGCCACTTAGTTTACTGAGTTACACAGCGCCAGAAACCAAGAACTAACTTGCCCTATATGGATGAGCCATTCTATTTCCAATCTGGACCAAAAATCACATCCTGTGATATTTTAAATGCCCTGTCCTAAAAATAAGAATCACTCAGACAAGTTTTGAAAAATTAAATCACATGGTATCTCTGCTCAAATGCAATTTCGAAGCTAAAAAAGATTTTCACCCCGAAAGGTCAGAATGAGTATTTGAAAGGTAAAGCTCCCCGGAGTATACTTCACAAGCATGTAAGTTTGAAGTTCCTGTGTTACCTCCTTTTTTGCTTTAAATATGTCTTTCTTGCAGGCTGCAGTGGTCCTCCACTCAAAGTAGTGCACACATTCTGTTGCGGTTACAAATTCAGGAGTTCCCTATTAAAAAATAATAACAATTATAATAAGTTACCATGCCACAAATTGTAAAGATTCTTCTTTAAAATTAGAATGCAGTAAAGGCTACTAAAATAAAGAGAGCCGCAGCAAGAAGGGAAGGGGATGCAACCGCTTTAGTTAAAACAGGGTCATCAAGACGTTCCCAAATCTGAAAATGCTGAGACCAAAGCTTCATAAAATCATGTAGGGATTTTGTGTAACTAATCCAAAAGCATTCTACCGCCCCAGCTATGCAAGTACAGTGAGTGAGTTCATGGGAAGAAATCCTCGGTCACTCTCCTCTCAAACTCCAAATGTTCTCTTAAGCAAATGCCAGCAAACCAAAGCCAGGAAACATGACCTCATGCTTCCCGTGAAAAGGCTCCCATGAGAAGCCCATCTGTATCTGATCAAGTTAGTACATCCACCAGACGCCCACCCTCCGAGGCAGCCCCTCCTGTTAACCGCGACCAGAGTGGACTACAGACAGGCCGATCACAGCATAGCAGGGTGACACAGGCACAGCAGGAACTGGCCTCTACGCTCCCACGGGCAAGTCTAGGGAGTTATCCTGCACAGCTCTTTTTTTGGTATGGTGAACCCAGAATTCATAAAGGAAATGAGTTAAAAGTTAAAACAGCAGCTATATATTTTATTCTGTAATATAAATCTTCTCATTTAATGCTGCTGCACACAGATTCTTTTATTTTTTAAGGTCTCAATATGCACAACGATGCACTCCATACGCGGATCCAAAATTAACAATGTTAGTTTTATTCGCCAAGTTCTTCAGATGAGACACTGTGGACCTGAAGGTGCAACAGTCACAGTCCCAAACTCTAAAATGATATTTTAAAGCAATTTAGTAGCCACAGAGTTTCACTCGACCTGACTTTCCTAAAGATTGGGTTCTTACTCTGATTCAAGAACATTCATAGAATTTGTATAACAATTCCTTCTCCCAAGAGCTAAAACAATTATTTACTGCAAGTTCCTTTCCAAAAAATAAAGATTAAAAATAACAAATTACATACAATATGCCCATAAGAACAATCATAATAATTTACACAATGACGTCCTCTTTAAACACCAGGTAATATCCAAAAAACTTGAGAACCCCATAACCACGGGCCAAGGCTTCTCCTAAACAGATGTGGCTATCTCTAATTTAATATAAATGAGGAAAGAAAAGTATTTTCAAGAAAAACTAAATACGCTGCTCTAAAACCCATCAAAATGAAATGCTAGGAGAAGAGGTTTTAGAAAAAAAAAAAAAATTATGCCTATAACATAAACATTAAACAGTGCACTGATTTTTACCACACGAATCACACTTAATTGTAGTTTTACAAAAGACGTGGTCCATGTTTTACTTAAAAGTTGTAACAAGTTTAGAATTTGTTTACTTATTGGTTCTTGATGGTGATGGTGATTTGGTAGGGTTTTTCTTATTTGTGTTTCTAAGTTTGCTTACTGATTCTTCCTGGAATACCTCTACAGCCAGAATACCAAGGGGCAGACATTTTTTTTTTTTTTTAAAGAAATACATCAAGTGTCTGTGTGGACTCACCAGGGTTTTCCCACACAGGAAGGCAATGCTGCTCTGGACTCTGTGATTTGTGCCTGGCCGGTCACAGCTCACTGTTGTGTTGAATTCCAGGAGAGATCTGGTTGCACTTCTCAAAACAGAGTCACCTATTTGGAGAGAAAAGAGAGTGAACAAGCTATAAAATATACATAACCAAACAGCTACTTCCAAGAAAAAGCAAATTAAAAGTAGCATTACAATTTATCTGACAGCTTACAAATTTATAAAACTTTCCTTTCCCAGAATTTTCCATCTCAGGAGTAGCATCCCCATTACATTACACTGAGTGCCATCTTTACCTTGTCTGCTGCTTTCCATACATCAGAAAGGTCCACAGCTATACGCCCATCTCAAATCTGTCCACATTTCTCCACCTCTACTCCCGCTAAAACCACTACCTGCGCTCCAGCACTGGCCACCTAACTGTTCCCCCTGCCTCCAGACTAGTCTCATCCCTCACCAACCTCACTTCCTCATCCATCTTGCACCAGTGTGATCTTCAAAAATACAAATCAGAATATATAACTCAGCCACTGAAATTTTTCAATACTTCCCATCACATATGCTACAAAATCAGCATTCTCTAGAAAGGCCCACAAGTACAGTGACCACATCTCTGTTTGTCTGGGACATTACTGTAACAGTCCAGAATAAAAAGTCTATGTAAAAATCAATATGATGGGCGTTGGCATAGGAATAAACTGATCAGAAGACTAGAATAGAGACCAACTGACTAGAAGAGAGAGCACAGAGACACAAATGTGAATTAAACTTTGATTATGACAGAAGTAATAGATCAGGGAAAAGAGGAGGCTGTTCAATAAGCAGAACTGGAAATAAAAACAGAACTGGAAACAAAATGGTTATCCATATGGAAAAAGACAAAATTGGATCCCTATCCAGTACTGGGTACAAAAACCAACTCTAAACACAAGCTTGTCCAACCCGTGGCCCGTGGGCCACATACAGCCCAGAATGGCTTTGAATGCAGCCCAACACAAACTTGTAAACTTTCTTAAAACATTATGATATTTTTTGTGATTTTTTTTTTTTAGATTATTAAGTATTATGAGTATTAGTGTATTTCAGGTGTGGCCAAAGATAATTATTCTTCCAATGTGGCCTAGGGAAGCCAAAAGATTGGACACCCCTGTCTAAATGGATTAAAGATGTAAACATCAAAATACAAACTTCAAAACTTGGCAGAAATCTTAAGATAGAGAAAGATTTCTTATGACTCAAAATGATTAATAAGGTTGACCTATTCAATCTAAGAGTTTATACTCATCAAAAAATAGCTTAAAGAAAACAGAAGTTATAAACTGGGAAAAACACAGAACGGGCAAAGAACCAGCATCAAGAATGTCTACATACATTCACATGCAAACAAATAAGAAAAAGAATTTTTTACGTATAATTCCAGGAAATAAAGGACGATGAATTACCTCTGACTGAGAAAGCACACACCATGCCAGAAAGGAGAGAGAAGGAAAAATCCACACCTAGCCACACAATGGTGGATTTCAATATCCAACGAAAAGAAAAAATTCTAATCTAGGTCACACGCAATAGAAATCCAATATAAAATGAACAAGACATGATCAAGCAAACCGAAGAAAAATGTACATCAATAAATATGTTAAGAGATGTTCAATGTTACTGGTGATCAAGGAATTTCAAATCAAGACCAAAATGGTATACTGTTTACAGCCATCCCTCTGGCAAAAATTAAATACCAAGTGTCAGACGTGAGATGGCTCAGAGCTCTCCTGTATTGCTAGTGAAATGTTAACTGGTTCAACAACTATGTAAGTCAGTAGGACATTATGTCCTAAAATTGAACATTTGTGTGCCCTATGGCCTAGTTATTCCACTCAGTTATTCCACTCTTCTGAAGAGCAAAAACCTGGAAATAACCAAAGGCCCATCAACAGAAGAGTGGATAAATTAACTTTGGCAGATCCACGCAATAAAATATTACAGCATCCAGAAGGAATAAAACACAGTGAAAAACAACAATATGGTTGATTTGTAGTAATATCACTGTTATCATTTAAGTCCCAAAAAGTTACACATAGGAAGATATACACTTTAATAAAGTTAGTTCCATACACATACAGATTTTTTTTTTGGAAATTAGATACAGTAAAAAAAAATATAATACAAGATGGGAGCTAACGATTACTTCTAGTGGAAAGTCAAAGAGGGAAAAGCAAAACAGACAGTGGTTACTGCCAAGATCCTAGATTTTTGTTGGTAACAGGGCTCACTACATTACACAAAACAACTAATTTTTTAAAAGTAAAAAGGTTAGTCCACGGATTAACACATGGATCACTGTATGTGTCATGAGCTCGGGATGACAGCTGATCCAATCCCATATACACCTGAAGTCTTGGGGCAGGGGCGAACCAAAAGTCAGCGCTGCCCCACAGCACCAGACTGATGGCCCGGTGGTTCTTCTGCCTGCGTGCAAAAGTCGGCCAGGATCATCCTTCCCGCATCTGCAACACCCAGGGTCTTTTCTAAAACCTTTGCCCGGTCGGCTCAGCCAAAAGGACACAGAAGTCCTGCAGAGGCTCTGAAACCAAGGACAGTGCCCCGTGGACAGCTCCCTCGCCTGGACAGCTTCCGCGCCTGGACAGCTCCTGAGCCTGGACCGCTCCCCGCGACTGGACAGCTCCCCGCGCCTGGATCGTTCCCCGCGACTGGACCGCTCCCTGCGCCTGAACAGCTTCCGCGCCTGGACAGCTCCCTGCGACTGGACAGCTCCCCGCGCCTGGACAGCTCCCCGCTCCTGGACAACTTCCGCGACTGGACAGCTCCCCGCGCCTGAACAGCTCCCCGCGCCTGGACAGCTCCCCTCGCCTGAACAGCTCCTCGCGCCTGAACAGCTTCCCCGACTGGACAGCTCCCCGCGCCTGGACACTCTGCGCTGAACAGCTTCCTGACTGACAGCTCCCTGCTGGCCTGGACAGCTCCTCAAGAGCTCACAAGGCTCCCCTGGTTTCAGCTTCCCACACTGGACAGCTCCTCGCCTGAACAGCTTCTGACTGACAGCCTCACATTGGTTACTCCACAGATTGGATTCTGCGCCTGGACAGTCTTCATGACTGACAGCCTCACTTGGACAGCTTCCTGATTGATAGCCTCACATTGGGAACAGTCTGTTACCATGGACAGCTTCCGCGACTGGACAGCTCCCCGCGCCTGGACAGCTTCCCCGACTGGACAGCTCCCCGCGCCTGAACAGCTTCCGCGCCTGGACAGCTCCTGCGCCTGGACAGCTTCCGCGCCTGGACAGCTCCCCGCGCCAGGAAGGCTCCTGCGCGTGGACAGCTCCTGCGCCTGGACAGCTCCTGCGCCTGGACAGCTCCCCGAGTCCCGCCTGCAGTGGGCGTGTCTGGGAGGCACTCAGCAGGGGCCGGGGCGGGCTCAGCGGTGCCGAAGTACCCGCCTAGGGAGACGCGCAGCTGGAAGTGCGTGAGGGCTGGAGACGCGGAAGGCGCGTGGGGCGCAACAGGCACACGGGGCATGCAGAGTACAGGGAGGTGCGAAAGGGGGAGGCGCGAAGGGGGAGGCGCGAAGGGGAAGGCGCGAAAGGGGGAGGCGCGAAGAGGGAGGCGCGAAGGGGGAGGCGCATGAGGTGTGGAGGGTGCCGGGTGGTACAGGGGATAGGCAGAGAGGCACAAGGGTGGGGAGGTGTGGGGACCGGAGGAGCATGAGAAGGCGAGGGGTGTGGCGAGGCGCGGGGCGGAAGGCAAGGAAGCCTCCGGAGGCACGGAACCCCAGGAGGCGCAAAGGGTGCGGGGATGCACGGGGCCGAGGAGGCGCGGAGGACCAGGGAGGCGCAAGAGGCCCAGGAGGCAAGGGGTCCTGGAGAAGCACGAGAGCCAGGAGTCGTGGGGGACATCGGGAGGTGCAAGGGACCCAGGGAGGCTCGAGGAGCCCAGGAGGCGCGGAAGACTGCAGTTGGGGGAGGAGGGAAATGGGGTGGGTGGAGGATGGGGGGCGGCCGCTACAGGCAAAGGAATGCAGCGTCTCCTGGCAGCTTCAGAAGGCAAGCCCCCAACCTCGTGTCCTGTTCGCACACAGGGTGACCCCTCTGTGCCAAGAGCCCCTGCGGGTCCCTCATAATGTGCGGGTCACGTCCTGAAAAGGAGGCAGAAAAAAAGCCCTGGAAGCGGGAAGGGAGTGACCCAGCTGCACGGCCACGCTGGCGGCCACTGCATCCCTCGGCGGTAGACCCGGGCGGGGCGCACACCCACCCCTCACCGGCTTCCTCGCAGCCCAGCGGCCAAGGGCAGACACCGGCGAAAGCCGCGGAAAACTGCGGCCTCCCAGAGAAGGGCCGGGCAAGGACTGCGGGCTGCCGCCACCATGCCAGGCCCCCAGCCTGTCCCCAACATGCCAGGCCTAGGCCTCCCAGACTGCGGACCCTAAGCTCCAGGTTCGCAGGGCTGCGCGCCGGAACCCCTAGGACTCGCTGGCAGAGCCTCTTTAGAACCACATTAGACCAAGCTGTATCTTTTATGTACAGAGTTGTTCGTTGTTTTTCAGCTGCCAGGGCTCCCAGTTTGAGATCACGTCACCGGAGCCCGCCCAGATGAACCAAGCTTGCAACACGGGGGGAATCTAAGCGCTAGGACTGAGGAGCCGGACTAAAGAACCGCACACCGCAAGGCAAGATCCAGGATCCAATCAGATAGAGCCCTGGTGTCATCTAATTGCAAGATCCAATCAGATCACACCTTATTACCATAAGCTTATAAAACCCCACCCAGCCCCCAGCTTGGGGCTACAGGTTTGCGCTTTCTTCCTGTCTCGTCGCAGTGCAGTCCACTCTCTCCAGCAAAAACCCTGCACTTCGGTGTCTGGCTTTCCCTGGTGCACTGGCAGACAGGTCCGGTTTGGTCTGGTGACACTCTAGGCCATGCTTACACACTCACCAGGCCTACCAGGACACATTCACCAGGCCCTCCAAACCATACTTACAGTAACCACCAGGCTGCACACACGGGCCCTCCACACCACACACCACACCACACCACACTTGGCTGCACCCCCGGAGCCGCACCTTCAGGTTCTCCAGAATCCGCAGGGACCT